AGGCCAAGCTGTAGACACAAAATATTTTGTGCTGTTTGGTAATACTGTATGTGGCTGCCAACTTCTTTTTCATAGCATTTTGTTAAAAATTGCAATCATTGTCATGAGTGTGCCTTTTTGTCCTAATTCCAAAAGCAGTAACAGACAAATAGGGAGGTTGGAGAAAGAAAGAGAAACAGAATGGAAGCGGAGAGAGAAATTGGAAAATAAATAAATAAAATCCAAGAAGCACAAGTGCATGCAATTGCCTGACTATTGACAAAGTGATCATTATAAATTAGTATTAATGTAGATTAGGTTCTTACATTTAGCTAAACCATGATTAACGTTGTTGATCATATTAAAGTATTAAACTTGTGAGTATCTAAACAAATATATTCAAATGCTTGCTTCTTTTCTTTTATTATATCATACTGCTATTTAATTATGTTCAATACACTTTCAGAGTAACAACCGAAAATGGTTTAAGAAAGTGCAACAAGATTGGAGCATACTTCAGAATAACCTTCCTGGTCAGTGTTACATTTACTTGATGCCATCTAGGTTTTGTAGTGTGTTATACCTCCATTTCAGTAAGTGTAAACAGTTGAAACATTTTGACAGAGGAAATCTATGTACGAGTTTATGAAGATAGAATGGATCTCTTAAGAGCAGTCATTGTAGGGCCATATGGGACCCCTTACCAAGATGGGCTCTTCTTCTTTGATTTTCATCTTCCGCCAGAATACCCTGATGTTCCACCGGTAAGGGATATTATCTTGATCTTGAAGCTGTACTGATGGCCATTTTATAACATCCCTCTAAAAAAGGGGAAGTTAGTTAAATGTTAATCATGTATTCATTTTTTATGAATTTCATCCAAATGGACATATCCCATGTCTTTTTTATGTTCTTTGTCTGGGTCTGAAATGGTGCAGTCAGCATACTATCATTCTGGTGGTTGGCGTATTAACCCTAATCTGTATGAGGAAGGGAAGGTTTGCCTTAGCCTTCTAAATACATGGACAGGCAGAGGAAATGAAGTATGGGATCCCAAATCTTCTAGCATCCTTCAAGTCCTAGTTTCACTGCAAGGATTAGTACTTAACTCTAAGCCTTACTTCAATGAAGCTGGGTATGATAAGCAGATTGGAACAGCCGAAGGAGAAAAGAATTCATTGTCATACAATGAGAATACATTTTTACTGAACTGCAAGACTATGATGTATCTTATGCGGAAACCCCCCAAGGTGATTATGAATGAGGTTTTTGTTCCTCCATTTAATTCAATACTATTTCTATTTTATGATGATTTGTTGAAGCACTATTACTTTGTGCGTATTTGGTTTCTCTATACTGAGTGTATATAGTTCATATCATCCTTATAGAAAATTGAATCTCCTAAAAGGTTGGTAACAGGGTTAGCAAATAAGAAAAAGGAGGATATTTTTGGGAACTTTCTTGTTTGAATTAGCTTATTTTGGGAAAATAATAGCTTTATTTTGCTACTTTCCTGGGAGCGCTTTTGAGGAAAAAACACTTATTTCAATGAGTATATGAAATTGTTTTATTAATTACAACGTTTGCATATTTTCCTTGGCAATAGTTAATGTGTAAGGAAGTCTGTAGCAGCTACCATGTTCTATGTGCACTAATCATGTCTAGATTTCATTAAAGTGTTTTTGGTGAACAACTGTTTTTTCTTTTAGTTGTGCATAGTATATTTGACTGTTATCTTTCTGATGGATACTCTAGGATTTTGAAGTGCTTATCAATGAACATTTTAAAAGGCGTGGTCATAACATCCTCAAGGCTTGTGATGCATATATGAAAGGTTATTTGATTGGCTCTCTGACTAGAGATGCCTCTATTAGTGAAAAGAGCAGTCAGAATTCAACCTCTGTAGGTTTCAAGTTGATGTTAGCCAAGATAGTACCAAAGCTTTTCTTGTCACTAAGTGAGGTTGGAGCTGATTGTGAGGAATTTAAGCATCTCAAAGAGTTGTAAGTTGTAACGAAGTTATGATGATACATCACATCCTTAAAGCCAACAGGGTCTGCTGACTCTGCGCAAATTTAAAGTTTGAAGGTACCAACAAGTGTAAAGGTTCTCTTATATTGTCAATGTTTTGATCTCTACAATTTAAAGTCTTCATTAATTCATTTCTCTTGTTTAAAAGAACAATTCCCTTCATGGAGCTTGAAAGGAACATTGGTGGGACTAGTGTGAATATCCATATGCTATAGAGAAGCAACCACTGACAGAGTAGGCTGGACATATCCTTTTGATTTTGATCACCTGAATGTGGGAGGCAATGTTGGGTACTAACTTGTATGTTTTTTATGTTTTTTTTTTTTTTTTTTCTTTTATATCTGGGGAGAGGGCGGAGTTGGAGTTTCTCAGGTATTTGAAAGCGTTTGATTGTCTTGCATTAATTGATTTACCTTCTGTTTTTGAGGATACGATGAATTGAATATAATTGAAGAATCAGTTCCTTTCCTTTTTCTTCCCGCTCCCCCTTCCCGTCTATCATGGATTCTGTGCTACTAAAGTTCATATTAGCTTTTTGACAATTTTACTTTTAATCTTCTTGAATCCAGTGTTGTAAGTGGTAACTGCTTTCTTCCTGTGATGTTTTACCACGTCTTACTGATTTTTTCACCCCCATTAATTCCAAGCTTTCGTTACCATTTATCAGAACCTCTATTTTTTAGATGCAGTGTTAGTTTTTTGACCAGTTAGGATACGCTTGAATGATTCCATGCCTTAAATACGAGCTAGCTATATCATTTCTCTCTACCTTCACCCGAAAAGGTGCCAGTTCGTTTGTGATATTTTTTTGGTCAACAGATAAATATAGGTTTTTTTTTTCATCAATTTTTGTATTCAATTTTTCTATTTAATCAAATTTATTAATATTTGCTTTAATTTCTTATTTTAATATTTTTTTTCAATAATTTATAAATTTTATATTTTCCATTAATAATATTTTAAAGTTATTAGTGTATCCATATATTTTTAATTTTTTAAAATTATCATATTTCGTATCTGGATCTGTACTGATATTGGTACCGTATCTGTATTAATGTAATTTAGTGGTTCACCAAGCATGGATGGAGAACAAAAGTTTTTGGTAAATTTCTACGCATTAAATTGGTTTGACTTTATAAAACTCATTTGTATTGATTATCGTTTTTATATATCTTATATTAAATAAGGAAAGGTGATTTCTTCTTTGTTTTGTAAATCAAAAGGGCATTTTATATCATGAATGCTCTCCTATGTATAATAATTATTTTTATTATTAATAGATAGCGAGATTAGTAATTTATTTAGAAAAGATATAAATATTTTTTAATTTTTTAAAATATTAGAAGAATTATAACTTTTAATTTAAAGAAGGTACATAATGTCTTTTCAAGTTTATGATATTAGAATAAATATTAAAAGAAAAGAAAAGAGAAATTAAAAAACGATGAGAAAAAAAAATTAATGAAGAATATTATGAGAATTTTTTTAAAAAAAGGTTAATTTCTTAAAATAATCACTTATCAAACGTAATAATATCACTGCTTTCGTTTATTAATACTACTAGTTAGGGACTTTGGAGTCACAAGGCAGCTGGTATGGAATTCATATTATCTAGTTGGATTTAGTGGGTAAGTAAGAAAAGGCATATTCGGAAGTAAAGTGTAAATAATAATCACCGATGAGAGAATTAAGTAGATAGAAACACATCATGACATACTTGTTCAAGTGCTTGTATTTTTATAAAATTTTAAAAGGTTGATTTTCTTATCTCATCGTCAATTTCACATTTTAAATCATCAATATCCAATTTATCACAATATCGGTAACTACCTTTATAATTGATCGGAACATTTTTGGTTGTTGGTTTTTAAAATTATTTGTTTACAGTCCATCAACTGTGATGGACTCATTAGTCGTGACAACTTATTAATAATTTCATAAACAAATCATCACCATTTCAACCACTCTCGGGGGCCATAATATTTGGGCTTATATTCCATTATCAAGCCACAACTGTGTTCTTGGATTCAGCTGGAAACTAAAAAAAATGAACATTGACCCAAAAAAAAAGTCTTTAAATATATGGTGGGTTTCTCCAACACTGCCTTCTCTTTAAAAAAAAATTATGAAAAAATATATCCATTTTAATTTTTTAATTATAATATTATAATTATTAATATAATTGTATATGCAAAAGTAAAAAAAGTAAGAATACTTATATAAAAGCCATATTATGTGTTCCATTCGTGTTTGACATGTATACATGGTGGATATTATATGGACGAGTAATTTTTTGGTTTGGAAAATTGAGTTAAAATTTATTTCAATTCTTTTTAAGTTTTGCATGAAATTTGCATTTGAAATTCAAAACAAAAATTTTGAAATCACCTCAAACATACCTTGTAAGCTTTTTTCTAGTGCAATTACTACTAAGTTACTGACGGGAACAAGGAAAGGGGGGATCAAACATTATATATTCAATGTCCATCATGAATCGCCGGCTGAGAGATAGAAATAAAATAAATCATCGACAAACAAAGTACAATCATAATTATGAACTCTTATTCAAGTTTCATATAAAAACTAGTATTTGCATAGCAATGTTTTACTTATATGTATGGCAAAACACAAGGATAACGTATCTTGGGTGTGAAGTTAATTATAATCATTTCGGCCAGCCATGTCCTTCCAACTTTCAAGGTGTAAAACTTCAACTTTGTTTTGGGTCCATTAGGCCCTTTTGTATTTTTACTATGCACGTTTTATAATGCCATCTTCCATTTAGTTTGAATGCCAAGCCTGTCTATGTCAATAGTTCATCATATAAACCAAAATCATTACTTCACAAACTTCCCAATGTTGACAAAATTACACGATGAACTAGACCTCCATATTTGAGCTGCTTCTTCAAACACAAGCAACTTTGTGGCAAGTGGCAACCCACCCTTTATTTCAGCCACTGCTCCATCACACCTTATATTTTCATGGACATGGGGGGTATTAATTTTCTCAAAAATTATACCTTCTTGCTGGCAATTCTTAATTTGTTTTGTAGTTTTCCTTTGAATGGTGTCATGGCTAGTGTTTACAATGTTGGTGACCAAGAAGAATGGAGTAGCCAGACAAATTATGCTTCATGGGCAGAGAAATACAATTTTAGCCTAGGCGATGTTCTTGGTAGTACATTAGATCTTTACTTGACTACTGTTTTTGTTGGATTTTTTTCCCTTTTGTTCTCACTGATACATGCAAGAGATTCCTCTGAGTTTATTATCTTTCAAAAGGGTGCTTATATTTTGTTGTTTTGATTTAGTTTTCAAGTACGTGAAAGGGCAACATAATGTGTATGAAGTGAAAGAGGATACTTTCCGATCGTGTGATGCAAGTAGTGGAGTGTTGGCAAAGTATGAGAGTGGAGAAGATCAAGTGGCACTCAATGAGGTAAAGAGATATTGGTTCATTTGCAATATAGCAGGGCACTGCCTTGGGGGAATGAGGTTTGGAATTGAAGTTAAGCATGGCAAAAATGCTCCCCTTCCTACTAATCCCACGGAGGGTGGATTAATTAACACACCAATTGAACCAACTCCCTCGAATAATTCTTCTACCAGTTATATCTCTGAAAGATGGAGACTGATTGAGAATTTTATTCTCTTTGGATTATTGTTGTTCAATTTGTATTTTTAACAAATGGTCAGGTATGTGAAATTTGATTATGTGTTTTCTGCACATTGAGTTTTTCATGTGTATACTTTAGCAATTCATTAGGTTTAAAGTACAAAAAAGATATATTTTTTCTAGACTGGCAAATATATAAATTAGACTCTTGTTCCAATCATCAATGTGTTTTATGTTTTTTTGGTCTCTCTCTCTCTCACTAGTCTGTATAATTGAAATATTGGGCCCCTTCTAATATTGGAAAAAAAAATTCAGGAAAGAAAAGCTATAGTACAGCATAAAATCAAATATTCAATTATTCTTTCAATCCATTTTGTAAAATCAAATAAGCCAATTAAAACACAAACCCATAATATTGGAAACACAGGAAAGAAAAGCTATAGTACAGCATAAAAGGTGAGAAGCAATGATAGTTAAAAATCAGAAGCAATATAAAAGTAAGGTTTAATGGTTTAGGGGCATCGTGGATGACTAAACAGCACATCATACTCACTTTGTGTTAAGCTATCAAAAACTAAGTGACCTTACAAAACATTACATATACTATGGACCACACAGTTCCCACATTTGCACGCAATCATCCAACACAGCCTACCATAACAAACCTTTAAATAATACGTGCCAAAATATATACTTTTTAATTGTTTTTGTTTTTACAGTTTTAATTAGGGAATTTAATTTTGATGTGCTGTTAAAGTCAATAATTTTCACTAAAATTACATGGCATATTTTTTATACACTTTCAATGCATTAATTAAATTCTTAATTAGTTAATGATTTTTTTCCGAGTTTAGTAAGATAATTGTGAATGATAATAAAATTCTTTTTTTAGTATTTAACGTGTAAATGATATTAAATTTTATAATTTAATTAATAACTAACATTTATAAAAAATAATTCTTACTACCAAAATCAAATCTCTGCTTAAATATACGAAAACATTTTAAAATATTTAATCATATCATTTTTTTAATAATCTCTTAAGATTAGTCACTATAATTATAATTATTTGAAAAAAATTAAATCATGATAAAAAAAATGGTAACTAATCCTACAAGTTAGTGAGAAAATTTAAAAAAATGATATTAAAAGATAATCTTATATATAATACGATATGAGTAAATATTTTTATATAACACAAATTCAAATGAGCTATAAGAACTAACAATTTTTTTTTAAAAAAAGATAGAATTTTCTAAGATTTATTCTATCAGTTGTTTAGCGTCTCTTAAAAATTGGTTGAAAAATTCAATGATAAGATTAAACGAAACGTTAAATGACGTGATCGGATTCTGATCGATATCGTATAAAAAGCTTATCAGTTAAATTTGTATCCCAAATTTTAAGGGATACTCAACTGACCACAATATAAAAATAGGGTTTTATGATGTTTCCTAAACTCATCAAACACTCATTGGTAGTAGCGTCTCTCCTTTCCTTCTCTTCTTTTTGTGTTCATCTTTTATTATACTTTTTAAATATTCTTTTGGGTGGTTTGAGATAATGAGGAATTGAGCACATGATGAATGAAGTGAATTCATGTATTGCTTATTGGTTATTCCATGAAGCTATTCAAAATCGAGCTTTTTAAAACTGATGCTCAAAGCACACTCAATGGCCTCTAGCCACCCCATCTTTTACAATGTTAGTCAATATTATGTTTTTATATCTTGCAAAATTGAGTGCTTTCAGATTCAGATTCAAGATTCAAGATTCAAGGTTTTATATCTATGTTCTTTTGGTTTTAAAATTAATTCTATTGTTTTGTGTAGCTATTAATGATCTAAGCCCTCAAAGAAACATCTTTCAGATTGCTAATTACAATTTGAGAGACATGGCACAACCTGGTAACCTGGTAACCTGGTTGCACAAAATTAATTTGTGCATAGATTCCCTTCCCCCATCTCAAAAACTTCTTCATTGCCTAAAACAAGTATTTGCTTTGCATGTATCGTTATTGGGTCTCTTGTTTTTTTCACACAACTGGTTCTATGGCTTATCTTGATTAATACAAGGCACATCTCTACATTCTAAAATATTTTGATCAAACTCAGTTATTACTCGTGGTCTACATTTTGCAACATTGGCATGGTCAGAGATACTTCGAATTAATTAGAGTTATGCATCAAATTAGTTCTTGAAATTATAAGTATTTTAAAATTATAAATACATGTCATTTTAGTTCTTAAAATTACAATAATAAAAACTAAAATGACCTACTGATAAATTCAAGGATTGAATTGATAGACATTTATAATTTATAGGACTAATTTGATATATTATTCTTTCAAAGTAATAATAAAATTTGGAGAAGAAATTTAGGCCCTTTTTTGTGAATCTTTAACAAAGTTTGAAGTTTGTTTTTCTCTTTTTCCTCAGACTTTTATTGCATTTTATCATTAAATGTGTTTGATTTAACTTGTTTAGAAAATAATTATTTTCTTCTAATTCCATGAAAAAGCTTAAAAATTTTCATTTTCAAAATCAATCCACTTGAAACAGGCAAATAGGAGAATTTAATAAAAAAAAAGTAAGATATTTCGAGTCCCTTTCTTGACAGGCGAGGAGCGATAACCATGGAAGATTTTTCTAAACATAGTATAAGCACTATGTAGAAATCTATCGTTTATTTTTTAACAATTTAAGGAGATTACTTGATTTAATAAATTAAGAAGTAAAGAACGCTCTATACTCACGTGCATGCAAAGTATTATAAATTCAACATTGTTAAAAAATGTTCCATAACAAAGCTTACGAACAAACACATCACGAAAGGTTAACTATGAAATTGATGCGGGTGATAGGCACCCATTTGGTGGCTGCTTAGGTGATGTTGATCCCTACTCACACCATTGTCTGATGTTGCTGTCATCTCATGAGTCCATCCTCTAGATCGGTTCCTCGTGAGCTCCATTAGTGAGTCTCTCACATCTTCAGCCTCAACCATTTCACTGTCCTTTTTCTGTTAAGCATCCCAAAAAATGAAAATAGAACGATTATTTTCATCATTTTGGAGTCCAATTAACCAATTCAACAATGTATACATACATACATATATATATATATATATATATATATATATATATATATATATATGTATGTATGTATGTATATATGGACATGTATGAAAATATCATTAGTATAGAATAATCTTGTTCAGTTATAATAATTGAATAGCCCATTTTACCTCCACTTTAAAAACATTTGACACAAGACCCTTGTGGCTGGTCACCGTGGCATGCACTACATCCATGCCAAGAGTGTTCAACGCCTCCATCAATTTCACAAACCCACCTGGCCTGTGCTCGCAGAACACCTTCACAAAGTACTCATTCCCATCTATCAGAGCCACTTCCACTTGCGGCTACAATATATATCCATCCATGTGTCACTCAATTTAATTCATGAAATTACAATTTTCACAAACAAAGAAACACCACTCATGCATGTCTAAACCAAAACAAAATGTGCTTACATATAGTTGTAAGCATTCATATAAACTATATGTTATATAGGTACCTCCATCTGCTGCGTCTGCTTGTCCATTGCAGCAGCATCTTCCTGCTTCAGTTTTGTCACATATCCATTCCCTGAGGTCCCTACATGAAACCCAGTTTGGGTCTTACCATGTTCAGCTTTTGGCCCAAGTTCACCTACACCAACATATTGATTATTGTTGTTGTTATTGGCATTGATGCAGTTACTTTCAGCTCCTGTGTCTGAATTTTCCTCAAGCTCATCTTGGAGCTCTTTCACTTGCTTTTGCAAATCTTTAACATACTCAATAGCATCCCCAAGAATGGAAGCCCTATCCAACTTAGAGATTCTTGGAACCAAAGAACGAAGGTTATACAATCTATCATTGAGCTTCTTCCTTCTCTTTCTTTCAGCCACAAGGTTTTTGGACTGGTTTCCTTTTCCATTCCTTCTTCTATACTTGCCACCTTCTTCTTCTTCATTCTGATCACTGCAATCTGACATTGAATCTGATCGACCCACGACATGTTTGAGCAAGTCCTTGTCGTGTTCTTGCTTCTCCGTCATGTCCACATATTGGGAATCTGTCATCATGCATTGCTGATAAGCATCATGGTCCTCTTCTGAAATGGATTTGAGTGGGTTGGTTTGCTTGTCATGAAGGAAGGAGCCTTGGTATTCTTCAGAAAATGCATCCTTTTTCATTCTGTTCTGTTGGTTGTAATTGAACTGTTGCATCAAGTTCAGTGGAGAAGTGCATAGACCAATGCGGTCCATTGGGATGTCATGTGGGAGATTCGAAGTTTCTGAAGGCTGAAAAAGGTTGTTTCTCTTATTCCCTTCGTTTTCAAGTGGGTTTGGTTGCATGTTGCTCATTGAATTCACGTCAATGTTGAAGCTTATTGAGTGCTCCACCAGTGCAATGCACTGGGTTGTCACAAAATCTATTACTTGATGATCTTCAGGCACCTGTTACAAAAGTATATATCAAGTGTGAAAGAAAGTTTTAACGTTTTTATAGATGCTAATTGCTACCTACTTTGAAAAAACATATATATGACATGACAGTACTTGTTTGGTTACAAACAGCTCAACTAGTCCACCTGGCACCGGAATCAAAACCTGGGTCCCAATTGTTTCCTGCAAAATAAATTAATACTCAATCAATATATACAGAATTAGCTGAGAAGGGAAAATTTAGGAGCAATTTTTGAGATATTCTTTTGTGTTGTTTTCCAATTAAAAGTAAAGTTTCATGTCAGTCATTTGTAACAACCAAAAATGTCAAACTTTTTATTGAACTAAAACTCGAATTTTGATTAAAAGATAACATTAAAAAATACTTGAAGGTACTGGATTTTAAATTTTGTTAAAAAAAAAAAAAGATTTAACGTGAAGAAATTGACTTACTTCCAAAATGTTCGGATCCAAGCCATTGGAATAGTTCACCCAATTGGGTTGATTTGTTAATAGTGTCTGTGCATGAATCCTGTTCATTGGATCACTAGGTAAGAACATCTTGTCTAAATACTTCAATCGTAAATACATATATAGGTAAGCAAGTACACATACCCTGAATTATCTATAGGAATGGAAGTGGTAAGATGGGAAAGAAGATCACAAGGCTTTGTTCTGGAGTGCGGAAACATGGTATCCCTGCATGGAGCCACTGAAGAGACAGGGAAAATATGTTCTTCCCCATCATTTTGATTGCTTTCGGTGCCAGCACAACAGCATCCCAACCACTCAAGAAAACTAAAGCAAGCATCACAATTGGACACAAGGAGAGATAGAGAAAAAAAAAATGGAAAGATTAGTTAATTATGTATAACCTTTGGTCTTCACTCAATTTCCAGCTGATACAATAGTCCCATCCGTTCAAACCCACGAGGGGTCTTAGTCTCTCTATTAAGTTTTGCATGATGATGTTCATGTCACCTGCAATAATTGACTAAATGCCAGTTGATGTTGAGATTTGAGAAACATTACCTAGCCGACAGAAACCAGGTACCAGTCAAGAGTTTGTCATATATCAATTGATATGTCCTCTGTCTTATATATATATATATTTACATATATATGGATAGAATTTAAATAAGTATTTTTGTCACTGTTCTGTAATCAAAATTGGAGTTTTACTTTAGTGATGTACGCTGGCCTTTAATATCAACTTCTATTACGCAAAATATTGAGGTAAAATTCTGATTCTAATTGCAGAATAGTATCAAAAGTACTTATGGTATTGCATTTGAGTTTTCACCTCGTATTCATATAATATGATCAGATAATGCACTACTGTATATCCCTTGCACTTTTGACACACCCACATGCATCCACGCAAATATATCCATAAAGAGAAAAAAGAAGAATGAGATAGACCTGGCATATGACAGTGGACCTTCTCCCAAAGGCAAAATGGCTATGGCTACTTCCTTTGACTAAAAGCCAGAAAAGCAAGAGCAAAACTGAAGAACAAACAGAACATAAGCAGAAGAAACAAAAACTTAGATCCATACAAACTTAGTTGACAGCAACAGTTAACTGCACCGTCATATCCCAAAATTTGAATCATATCATCCACCTTACGCCAAAAGTCCCATCTCAGCAAACTGAGACTAGAAACAATGTTCCTTATATCAATGCTTGGGATGAAACAAAGGTGCAAACAATAAAAAACACACCCAGTTCCTTCTTTATTTCATAACAATATAATTTATATACATATTGGAGAGTGGCTGTTACTATGGTAGGTGAAGTGCAGAGGGTGAATGAGAGAGAGATATTTGGTGCAATGAAATAATTTTTTTGCCTTGTGTTCTGTTAAGGAAGAGAAACGAGAAATGAGGAAAGAAAGGTGCAGTGAAAGATATAGATGAGTTGGTGATGATGGCAGGAGCATATTGCATGATCCAAGATGGCGTACAAAACCTTAACTACCTTGCTAAAGTTTTTCATTCTTTTTGGATACTATATTCCCTCTAACTTCAACTACTCCTCTAATATACTCTATATTAACCACAAATGGAAACTGCATATTACATATTACAAGTATATATACACAAAGCCTTGAACTAGAAATAAAAGAAGGAATCTGTGCACTTTATTGATTATGCATGATGTAGTTCAAGGAGACATTGTACTTGCACTTTCAATCTTAATGATCCAAAGTATATTTGCCCAATTGAAGCCAATTTGATGAGCTCCATTTTTGTTTGGTGGATGGAATTCAACATGAGTTTGAGACTCTGAAATCAGAATTGAATTTTACCATTTTAATTATAGCTCTTACAAAGTACTTATAGAATATGAAACATAATTTCGACGGATTGCTTTTCTTAAAAAAAAGTATCATCTTAATTGTTATTTTCAATCCTTAATCTGAAGTCAATTTTACTATTACCATGGTTATCACTCACATAATTACTGTCTCACTGTGAATTATTCTTGTCATTGTTATCGTCACAAGTTATTTTTTTATTTAAATTTAACGCAATCTTATCTCACCACTCTTAGTTAAAGATATTAAAATGCATTTAAAATTTAATTTTATATTATGTTTCTCCACTTTCTTTATATAGTTCAGAATTATAAATTTGAATCAATTTTAATCCTATTATGTGTGTGTACAAAGAGAGAATTATTGGTTATATGATTGAAAACATTATCGGGAAAAAAAAAAAAGACGAGATGGATGTCTTGACTAACGAAATGGTTGTTAGCAAACATATATAGTATGATCTAATCGAGGAAATGTATCTTTTTAAAGGTATTTTAATTTTTAATTTTTAAGATTAAGTATTTAAAAACAAAATTTTAATTAAAAAATATTTATTACATTGTAAAGATAAAAGTATAATAAGTATTATATTTTCTTATTATTATTTGATTGAACGAATGTTAGCAAAATCATTTTTTATTACCAAAATTTTTGTATATAGTGTACTGATTAATTAAGAGATTAATCTTTTACTTTTACCAGTTAAGGCTCTTAATTTTTTAAAGAATTTGACTTGTCTAAAGTCAAGAGAATTGTAACGTGAGAAAATGAATCTTTATTTACTTTTAATTTAAATTTGGCTTATCTGTAAAAGATATTTAAATTTAAATTAATGGTATTTATTTACTAGTTATATTTCTCAATTTGCTAAAAAAAATTTACTTTCTTTTTTCTTCCCTCATTCAAACACATTAACGTTTTTTTCTCCCAATCCAAACATATTATTAGGAGTACTAACCAAGAAATTAATAAATAATTTTGTTTAGTATTGACACGTGGAATGTACTAAAAATTATAGGATTATTGTTGTCAGTTCGAAATATTATTAAATAACTTTCTAATTAAAGAGGTTAAGATTAATTTTGCCTGTGATTCGGAATTGCTATCAGCTCAAAATCATTTTAAACACCACATGAAATAGAGGTACGAGAGAAAAAAAATTGAAATTATTTAGTGCTTAGATTAAAAAGTTATTCATTAGATTATCTGATTACCAAATTTTTAAGACTTTTAATTCTTGTTTATCTTTTATTTTATTTTCACATTATTTTTTAAAAAGCAAATATAAGTACACGCATATCTCAGTTATGTCCCTTTAGTTCATTATTTTTGTGGATTTAGTAAATTGAATATTTTAAATATAAATACTAAAGTTTCCATGCACGTACGTAATAAAGTTAAGAGACGTGCGAGAAAAGTCTCGGGAAATTCATACTCTTTTAGAATTAATAAAAGTATAGTCATATACTTTTTTAGTTACAGCTATGTAAATTAAAGGTAAAAACAAAATTAAAAAAAATTAAAAATTTATTAAAAAAAAGAATAAAGTAACAGTAAGTTTGAAAGAAAGTGATATGTAATTAGCAACATATTTGGGCACATAATAAGGACATTGGTTGGATGGTACACTTCTACCACTTTGGTCCAAAGTGGTTTCATGAGAACTATAATATTGCTTTCACATCACATCACATCACATCACAGCATACACATAATAATGGAGCACGAGTGAACCTCGTGATACCCATCATACACATACATCTCATTTTGCATCGTCCCACGTGTCTTTAAACTGTTGGTCCACATTCTTATTTTTTCTTTCATGACACTGATTTGTCTTCAACAATTCAGAAATAATTTCTAATATCATTGTTAATTCTCATTAAATATTTTTTTATTTTAAAATATTAAAAATTTCCATCTTTTCATTTAATATTATCTATTGTTGAAAATCTCCTTACTGTTAAAATAAATATAGACACTTACAAGGAATTAAACTAAAAATGTTAAATATCTCGAGATTCTATTAAATGTTTATTATACCTTTTTGAAACGGACAAATAATTTAATGAAAATTTAAATTTATGAACACACATCTTTATCAAGATTCCTATTCAAGTGTTTGCAGCTCTCAAAAAATAAATACATATATGCAAAGCTACGTTGAAAAGGATGTTTTCTTAGTTAATATGAAGAGATTGATCCAATAAAATAAGACAATTTCATATCATAATTTTAATTTTTCTCTTTTCCCTAAATATAACTCTTCTCATAAACAAGAAATCCTTTTTTTTCTAAAATTTGATAGTACTTTAAAATATTTACTTGGTTAAAAAAAATAAAAAATAGAAAACATTTAAGTGAAAGTTATAATATTTTAAACATTTTATTCCGTTAGCATATTGTTTAAAAATTTAATGTATAAATTCTCTTTGAATCTCTTAAATTTTTCTGTCTTAAAAAATTCATAGATCATTTTATAAAATTGTTTATATTTAATAATACGATACGAACGTCACTCCATCAAATAACGTAATAAAAATTATCGAATATAAATATAAAAATATTTTATGTTCTGAGTATCCATTGAAATGAATTGAAATTAGATTTAGTTGAATTTTCGAGATGAATCGAATCTGGAATAGCATGTGAGTACAGAGGTGGTTGTCATCTTGGCACGTAACTACCCAATAACAACAAATGGGGGTATAGGTAAAGATATAATTGGGTTTGTTAAATAAATTATAATTTTTAATAGCTCTTTAAAATATTATTATTTAAATGAAATAAAGAAATAAAAATGGTTTAATAATATATTAGATGGAAGAAAAAGGGTTCACAGAGCACAGGTAGGAAAGCGGCAAGATGTGTGCTTGGGAGGCGTAACTTTCTAGATGTTTGACAAATATTGTATTGATAAAACTTTCAAAGGGTTAAGAGATGAGAGCCAGCTTTCAAAAGCAGTTTCTTAGCGTCCACTTTCTTCGCTTCATTTATTATTTTTAATTTTTATCTTTCTATTATTTTAATATTGTGATGTTCCTTTGGTCAAAGACTTTCAAAAGTTATAAAATTCTACTGTCATGCCTCTTATGGTCAAAGAACTAACGCTTCCTCCCCATTTTTCATCCACTGATTGCTTTCTTGCTCAATCCAAAAACACTTCTCAACAAATTGGACACTGTTTGATTTGGAATTCGGAGTCCACCTACTCCTTCAACTTTGCAACCACGTCGTCTCTGTCTTTCTAGGTTGCTGCTTTTTGAATTCTTTTCTATGTAATTTTTTCCTTGTTTCTGTTCTCTCTGTTTCATGGGTGTCTCTTTCTGCTGTACGTGTTTCCCTTCAGCTTGGTTCAATTTACAGACATTCATAGATCAACTTCATCAGCTGCAAATGATAAGAAAAGCAGGAACATTTTTGTTCCATTTTTTTATGTATCTTTTGATTAAAAAAAAAAAAAAAAGGAAACCTCTGAAGCGTGTTTTTATTTTTCCTTAAAAAATTATTCTTTTTCCTTTTCTGTTGGAAGGGGTGGGTTTGATTTGATTAGATAGATAAGAATACGATGTGGGCTAAAAGTTGAACAGAAATCTTGATCTTTTTTTTTTTTGTGTGTGTCACCTATTACTGTGCGTAAGTATTTTTTTTTTAATCAAAGGAAAAGCTATTTAGTGTCTTGGTCGGATTTGGGTAAGAACTTGTGTGTTTGTTTTTTCTATATATGCATCTGTTGTTTAATTTGAGGTTGTTTGATTGATGCAACAGTCACAGTACGGTTGGTTTGCAGCGAAGGTGAGGCGGGTGACGGTTGGAAAGAGATGGCTCAGATTCAGAACACAAGAGTCATGGCAAGCTGTGTATATGCTTCTAATCCCTACCATGAATGCACTGAGGCTTGCTTGCAAAGGATCAAGGAAACAAAGCCACCGAAAAATAAAAAGAGTTCTGGTCGGTTGTTCTTCCTGTTTCCTCAGCTTTTTATCTAATGCTTGCAATTATATTTTATCCTCATCTCATAACAGTCAAATATTTTAAGATACTATATTTATATTTATGATTTTGTTATGTCAAGTGAAAACATCATTTCTCTATTATTCTTGGTGGCCCATCTTGAAAACTTTCTTTTTCCCTGGATTTCTGTTATATAAATGTGTATCAATTAAATAACAAGATTTGACCTGTAGCATCTTCTTTTTTTTTTTCTTAAAAAAATCACTTCTATTGTGCTATTAATTGTAACCGCTTTCTGCTACATGATGCTCTTCTGTTTGTGTCCGTGTTGCTATTTGTGATTTTTGCTGATACTGTTTTTGACTTGTTTATGAATATTTCTTAACTGTGGGACAAGACATGGTTGTCGTCGCTGTTAAATGATAATAAGTCTAATACTTCAAATTTAACCAATCTATTTGGTAGTGTGTAGCTACCAATCTCTGAACACTTGTAAGATCTGTCTTTTTTTTTCCCCCAAAGATTATCGCAGAAGTGTTACTGATGGTGAACTTGGCAAAAAGATGAATGAAGAAAAACGCTCACAGTCAGGTTGCCCTAAAGCATCTAATCCTTACCATGTGTGTGATGAATTTTGCCACAAGAGAATGTCTGGAGCTGATTCAGGTTTCCCATCATTTTTTTATCTGCTAATTGAGGATATCAGAGATAATTTTTTGTTTTTGTTTTGATCTATTAATAGTTTATACCCTCACAGATAATTTTTTAAGCAAAAATCTCTCTATTTGTCTAATCCAATTTACTTTTGCCAAAATATAAAAAGAAGTCAATCTCATTCATCCCATATGAAAAAAAACCTGAGACTGAAAAATAAATTTATGGTCTCATGTAATATTATTCAGTTTTCAACAACTTGTGTACGAATGATATAAACTGCGAACATTGTGATTTTGTCTGACCAAATCATGATAATGGATTAAGCATCTTTGCAAAACATTTAACTGTCCATCTTATAATTCTGCATTATCTGTGCAATTGGTTTGCCAAGCTCACAAATATATAGTTAATGTCTATTCATATTCTAATTAAATTATTTATAATAAATAATAGTGCCCTGAATCATAAACTTCAAATAGTGGTTAATAAAGCCACTGGCAAGGCTTGTCTGTTAATTTGTTTGACTAATTAAATAAAAAAAATCTTAAGTTGAGGTAATAAACAGATCGTTGGTATACCATAGAATTCTCACATATAATGTTTCTGATTACTATCCTCTCAATTGCCAGGTCCAATTCCATTAAACTTAGGCAGGAAAAAGAAGCTTGGTTCTAAGCCAGAACTCCCAGTTCTTGACAGTGTTCCGGCCTCAAAAATTGGGGCAATTTATTTCTCTGATGCTTCATCACCATTATCAAATTATTCTGAAACGCAAAAGGAGGAGCCAAAAAGCAATGAGCTAATACCAGTTTCTGGAGAAATACACGTCCCAAAACTCATGGTAATTACCTCTATTCTCACATTTTATTCCGACAATTCTTTTAAATTTTGGGCTAATGTACAAGCAAACCCACTAAGCACATAGTTGACTTGTCTCTACTCTCTTGTCCTTGTTTCTTCGAAAGCCTACGAATGACAAAGTCCAATCAAAGGATGTTCCTGAGCATCTTGCCGGCCCAATAAGAACAAAGCAAGATGGAGACAAGAATGTTTCACCAAAAGTTGTTCCAATCACCTCTCTTGATGACACAACAGGTCTCACTCTTACTAAACCGGATGGTGGGTCCATGGATTTTTGTTTCTCCGGTAATTTCAATGATAATGAAGACAGTGACGGAGAGGAGACTGAGTCTGTGGTCTCCGAGTCCCGTGTTCCTGTTGGAAGATACCATGTGAAAGAAAGCTTTGTTCCAATCCTGAGATCCATATTTGAAAAGTATGGTGATATAGGAGCAAGTTGCCACTTGGAATCAGTGATCATGCGATCATATTACATTGAGTGTGTATGCTTTGTTGTCCAAGAGTTACACTCAACTCCAATAATGCAACTAACAAAGTCCAAAGTCAAGGAATTGTTGGCTATTCTCAAAGATGTAGAATCTGCTCAACTTCGTGTGGCCTGGTTGCGTAGCATAGTTGATGAAATTGCTGAAAACGTTGAAGTCATCAATGAACACCGTGCCGCGGAGATGGCAAAGGCTAACTCTGATCGTGAAGTGGAATCATTGAAGAAAGAGCTAGAATCAAAGATGGAAACATTGGCCCAGAAAGAACAAGAGGTAACTGATATCAAAACAAGAATTGAAGAGATAAGGGAGCGTTTGAGTGAGCTTGAGCTAAAGTCTTCTGATTTGGACAAGAACATGTTGTCACTCAAGTCCAAGGTTGACAATTTGGATAACAAATCCTTGCTACATGAACTACTGTAATAATGCAACTGCTTAGATTTTTTTGTCTTTGAATTGCATCCTTAGAATTACGGTAATGCTTTAACAAGTAGAATGTGGTACTAAATAAACTCTTGGGAGTTATATTTTCTAGCTAGGTAATGGTATGAATCCATATTGCACTCGCACATATGCACCCTTGCTGCTGGACTTCAATTTTTTTAATATAATTTTTTTTATATAATTGTCCCAAGAACAATGGGTTGAAGGCATTGCGGTTATTATAGAGAATTTTTCAGTTTGTTTACTTACTCAACACTTTCTTTGATCATTAGGGCTATTATTTGCATGTAAATTTCATAGTTAGTTTTGGTGTTTCACACGGCTTTGTAAACTTTTCTGTTTGGATGGTGAGAATGTGAGGGGTGCAATATCATCTTGCTTCTATAATATCATTTGATAATAACAAACTATCATTTAAAACCTTATTAAATACCATAAACCTTTTGCCAATTTGATGTTTGAACAAACCTTAGTAGCAGACTTATTGCTCAATTTAAATTACTCTTAAATGATCTTTTCTTATGATTTTTAATATATTAAAAGACTGAACTTGACTTTTTAAGTGAAAAACATATGTCAAGAGAAAGGGGGAAAATAATTTTCCACATATTACATTCATACTCTGTACAATTCCTCAAGCTATAGGAATTCAAAGATTAACTTATATGTAATATTTAAAGTAAATGAACAAATATTAAAACTTATTCGATATAACTCAAATCTTTGAATAATTATAATGCTAAGTAATTTATTCTTTTTTTAAAATAAATTATTATTTTATTTTTTAAATATATAATGTAAATAATATCAATCTAATTATTATCATTACTAATTAAGTTCAATAAATAATTTAAATGATATTAATTAGTGTTCATTTTTAAAAATCCATTATAATAAATATTATGCTCTATTAATCTTCTTTTTAAAAAATAATATTATATTTTAATGAATTTTTAATAATTTAAATAATATTAACTTAATTAATATTATAACAAAAAAAATTTAAATAAATAATATTGAAAAAAAGAGACAAAAAATTATAACCATTCATTGCACGGTCCAATCCAACCTTCCCTGACAACAACGTCATTAACAAACTTCCTAAAATAATACTTCGTTCTACTTTTTATAAAAATTAATAAACAATATTAATAATATACTTTTAACGTAGTTTTAAATACATGTTTTATTATTAATTAAAATATATTAAAATCATAAAAATATATAAATTTCACTCTCAATTTAACAAATCTTACTTATATTTTTATTATTTTAAATAAATCTTAATTAATAAAAGAAAGTGTGTAATAAAAAGTGAATTAAAAAGTATATATTTAATATTTTAAAATTAATTTGTTTAAATTAATAAAAAATAACTATATGTCATACATTTATATTATATTTTAAAAATATATAATATTAAATAATTAAATAAATAATTTATATGTTAAATAAATAAACATATTTATTTACATAATAATAAATATCTCGTGAAATGAATTACATTATAAATAAAAATATAATAATATTTATTTTTATATTTAATGATTATTTTTACAAAAATTAAAAAAAAATTACTTATGGTGAAAGAAATGTTAATTTATTAAAATTCTAAAAAATCAATATTTATTATTTATTTATTTATTTATTTTTTTAGCAAACTCTGTCCCCATCTCGCAAAGGCAGTATGTATCAAAGGATAGTGCAAGAGTATAACACAACCCCTAACCCCCAAAAGAAAAAGAACAAAAATTCAAATCAGATTGGTTTACAAATCGATTAATTACTCAAATTCGAATCCAATTCCGAATTCCATCTCCTCTTGTTGCTTGTTCAGAGATCGCTGTTCTGCTGTTACAGGTTCGTATCTTTTTCCCCTTCTCTTCTTGAATGTATTACTGCGCAAAACTCTAATGGGGAACAATAAATAATAACCCTATTTTCTATTTTGATTTCATCTGTAATATTTGTTCCTTCAATTTCAACCTCTCTGTGCGCTACTTGCTGTCAATTTTTGAAGAATAAGCAGAATAAAACTGCGCCTCCGATATTGATTGATTAGGGTTTTGTATTTTTTCCCCCCTCTTTTCGGGTAGCAATGGTTTTGTAACACGAACATGTTGGTTTGCTATGCGGCAACGGAACAGGTCGTTCTCGAAGGGACAACAACGTCTTTGCGCGACATGTCTGAGGAGCGAGCAGTGCATCCCGATTGTCGGAATGCGAGTAATCCTTTCCATGAATGTAGTGATTACTGCTTTAGAGTGATAGCTGAAACCAAAATTAGGGTTCAGCAACAGGAATCAGGTTAGTTTCTCAATTGCAATCTCTTCTATTGGTGATGAGCTTTTCTCAAGTAATTGGATAGTTATTTATGGATTTAGTTATGTTTATTACAACTAAGTTCTTTAATGTCCATTATTCTTCGGTAAAAGGTCACTGTGCTACTGCTAAGTAAGTTGACAACTCTATCCTACGGGAAATGTTCTTTTTAATGGTTAAATTTTGATCATATGTCATTAGACTAGAGAGCTTTTATTTAATAATTATATTGAACTTTTCCCTGATAGAAAGAAAGAACTCGTATTTCTTGGTTTTATGCTGCTGAGTTTATCTGTCGATATTTACGTACCATTTTTTATATCAATCAGAAGTTGCAGAAGCTAGTGGTGGAAGTGGCAGTAAGCAAGCCATCCCTGATGAATCATATCCCGATGAGGAAATACATGATGATGACAAACCCAATCTTGAAGAAAACTCTGATAGTGATTCTGAACAGCTGGCTGCAGATCAAGTGGAGGGAGGCTACCCAAAACTATCTGCAAGACAGAAAAAGTGGATGGAGTTGAGAGCCAAGATGGTAAAGTGGTGAAAAACCTCTTGTTTATTGCTTTATTTATTTGAAGAAAACCTAAGATTGTTGCTTTGTTTCCCTGGCAGCAAGAAGCAAAAAAGCGTAATCAAATTGAAATAGCTGCTGAGAAAAAGAGAATGGAAGCTCCAACAGAGTCTAGGGGTGTTTCTAAACAGAAGTGGCTTGAGGACAGGAAGAAAAAAATTGGAAAACTTCTTGATGCAAATGGATTGGATTTGTCAAAGGCTTATATGCTTGACACACAAGAGGCAGCAGAAGAGAAATACAAGAAATGGGAGAAAGATCCTGCTCCATTTGGGTGGGATGGTATGTTTACTACTTATCCAAGATTTTCAAACCCATACGAGTTTTAAATTGTTAACAGAAGAGTTTGATGTCTTTTCCTTTAAAAGAGATTCCTGGATGAACTATAGATGTTTGCATGAATCTAATTTTTTGAAGAGTTACATGTAGATCATCTCAAATGTTCTGTTGCTAAAATATAGAGAAATTAGTGTTAATACATGCAAAGCATCCAAGAATATTTGTCTTCCTCCTACATATAATTTTGGAGAGTCATATTTTTGTGTTTTGTAATCTACCTGTTTTATATTATGAGAAATAGATGCTTTCTTGCTGAGTGTCTAATTGACTGCAAAATTATCCTAAAAAACTTGTGTTGTAGAGTAATTATAACGGAACTGAAACTATTGCCTTCTTTTTCCCCAGTTTTTAATCAGAAGACATTATACAATGCATATAAAAAGCGGACCAAGAACATTGAGGTTGATGTAGATGAATACACTAGAATGAAAGAAGCTGATCCAGAGTTCTACCGTGAAGCTTCAAGTCTCCAGTATGGAAAGGTACACTTCCATGACATTAATTATCTCTTTCAAAACCCTTACTGCATTAGTTATTTTTTTATGAGTTGTCTTTTCTTTCATTATAGGCACCAAAAATCTCAGAGGAGAAGATTGACAGGATGGTGCAGGAGCTAAAGGATAGGGAGGAGAAACGCAAGTCATTTAGCAGGAGAAGACGATTTCATGAAGAGAAAGATATTGACTCAATCAATGACCGTAATGAGCATTTCAACAAGAAGATTGAGCGAGCCTTTGGTAAATACACCCTGGAGATTAAAAATAATCTTGAGCGCGGAACAGCATTGCCCGACTGAGGTACCTGCTTTTGCAGTGATGTTTTATTATTGTCATATTGTTCTAATACTGATATATTTCAATGATAGATTGCATTTTTAAAGTGCCTTTTGACTATGTAACATTATAGAGTGGACTAATATTTTGCAATGTTGATTCATTTTGAACTTCAAATACTAAATGCTTGCTTTGTACATGGGTTCTTAATAGCACTCTTTCCAATCTTTCCACTTTTATTTGTATGACTAGATATTTATGAAATTAGAATGTCAATTTATTTTCCAGTCTCGTTAAAAATCATATCGCTTTTAGAAGCAACCACGAATTGGGAGTTAGTTTTAGCCTTGAATCCTCTGGCGCTTGGAGACATCTTGTAATTTTTACCTTGGACCAAAAAAATATTATTTAATTACTATATTGCTTTATTTCAAATTATGTTCTTCCAAATAATAAGGTCGATGAAGAAACATATGTACTATTAAAAGGAGATTGGAATTTTTTTTATTCAATATTGAATTGTTGATTTGGGACAAAACTGGTTTTTAGGATACTACACTATTTCATAAATTAGTAATCAACAACCAAGTCATTGTCATTGAATAGAATAATTATTTGATGGGTGGCAGGTTTTGTCACCTACAACTGATAAAATTATGTGGAGGTTTTATCTTCTGAAAATTATAAAATTGACCCACCTCTCTTTGTTTTTAATAATAATTTCAACTCTTTTTCCCCCTCTTACTCTGCAACTTCTCTTAACAAATTGGCCATCATACCGATTTCTGTGGATGGCAGCAAACTAGGAACATTCTTTGCTAGTTCAATTTCTGTCTAACTAGAAAACTCTATATAATCTTCATTATTTTGTTTTCTTTTACTTGATTTGAAGTCCAATTATAAATATATCTATACAGTCCGAGGCGTACCTTTAGTAACGTTTATCAAGTATACCACCCGACTAAAAGAATTGGAAGAAAGCATTGATATGATTTTTTTATGTAGTTGCATCGCGCTGCAAAGAGAATGAAGCCAAAAATGATAGAATTTGAAGTCTTATTACCATGCACCCAAGCCAACATGTTTTCCGAGACAAAACAAAATAAACCATACCAGTTTTTCTATTAGCAACTTAAGCGCAAAGATATCAATGTGAAGGTTTGAAACACAAGAAATCAATCAAATGCTAAAGTGCTCAACCCAAAAGTTAAGCAAATGTCATCTAATGCGTTATATTATGATATCAATAAGAGCGTGGTTTAGAGGAGGTTAATACTAAACACCGACAAAATGCAAGTTCGAATTAGCACGACCTCCTCTCAATACACTAAAACCTATATGATGCATAACTGCTGTCTATTATCCACATTACTATAGAAATGTGGATATTTGAACACATCTTGTTTATAGATCATAGAAAACTGGGCTAGTGTTCCGAATCTCTTTTTCTTCCTCATCAGAAAAATCATTCTTGATGTCAAAAATTTGGCGTATCTCTTCGGGGGTCTTTCCCTTCATTTTGTCCGCCACAGTCTTGCATCCCAAATCAAGAAGTTTTTGAATTTTGAGATAGTGTGCTCCCTGAAAAACCATATTAATCGAACAACAACGCAAGGTGAGAAACGTGTCAAGCAAAACGATTTTATTTTGAACTCACCAATCGACAATTTTTTATTCTCATTCCATGGTGTATACACTTTGAAAGGGAGAAAATTAAGAATAAAAAGAAAGAGAAAGAAAGTGATAAATGTGATGACAAGAAAAGTAGAGATAAAGAAATATAAAGTGGGTATAAGAATTTGGGTGTAAAAAAAATTGGGTCGTAGAAATCAATTACCCCAAGACAAGAAAGAACAGAAAATAGAACACAACCCAAATCCAAAGCCATGAATGAGTGATATCTAATCCAATTTCAAAACATTTTAAGTGGATTCTACAAGTTTTCAAATTGCAAGCCAATGCCACATTTGTAGACACTAACAAGGTTTTGGATGTTTTTACAACCACGCCCCGTATTAGACTGAATTCACAAATCCCTTATTAAACTACAAACCGACATAACAAAAACAAAAGTAAATGTCATTATTAAACATCACAACTTCTGTAGAAAAAAAAATTAACGAATGTTAAATACAAAAGAAAAGAAGAGAAGAGTGCATGGAAGATTAAGAGATGAAACTAACCAGGATAAGGTCATACAGTGTGTCCACGTCAACTTTGATGAACTCTGTGTCCCAATTATTGAGACTTTCCTTATCGCTCTTAGAGGCCTTGCTGGGATCATCAACATCATCAGCATGTTTATTCATGAAATCAATGATCTTTGACAAGATTTGAATCGAGATTTCTGGCAAGGTGATGATGATATTATTCTCACTCTTACTGTACTTTTCTTCAATCAAACGCTTCATAGTGGGAGATGCATTCACCAAAGCCTCTTCTACCTCCAACACCTCGCCTTCGGAACATTTCACGTTGATCTTCTTCAATGAAGGTGAAGCCATCGTTGATCAAAGGAGAAAAGAGACTATTAGATTGAAAATGTCAGTGTTCTTGACTGCTTACAAATATCTCATACTATTATTTATATGCACTAAAGTGATTTGTATCGGGGATGCTTTGAATAATAAATATATTTATTGAATAAACACTATTAATGTTTATGTAAAATATTTTACAATTCGTCATAAGAAATAAGTATAAAAATATAAGAAACCGTTCAGATAAAAGAAAAATATTTATATATAAAAAAACTATTTAATTTATATGTTTAAATAATTCATATGTATTTAATGGGTACATTAAATATCTTCTTAACCAATAACTGTAACATATCCGTTAGCAAGACTTTTAAAAATTGTTTTTTTTTTAATCTTATATGTAAGGTACTATAGGTTAAGAGATATTAAAAACACTTTTTTAAATGCTTTAAAAAAAGTAAATATTAAACTTTTTAAATATATTTTTTTATAACTTATCCTTTTTTTTAATATAAGATTTTTTTTTAATCAATGCACTTAATTCATCGAATGAAAAATTAAAAAATATACATATAAATACCAGAATAATTCCTTATTTACTATATCACTTCATTTCAAATTATGTTCAGCTTGATAAAGAAGAAGAAAAATACTATTTAAATACAGTATGTAATTTTTGTTTAAATATTAAAATTGTGAATTTGAGACAAAGCTAACTCAGTATATCAATATTATTGAACGAGTGGATTAATTGGTATAAGATTGTTTTAATTTAATAGGTAGTCACGAATTTAAGTTTTCATAAAAAAAAAAAAAGTTTTGTAATTGAATAGCTTTTATCTCTAAAATTTAGAATAAAATTAAATAAAGTAAAATTATAGAGATTGATTCATCAGATTTGTCACCTACAACACAATTCAAAGAATTTGCGGAGACTGTTATCTTTTGAAAAATTGCAACTTGCCCTTCGTTTCTTTTCTTTGTTTTTCACAATAATTTCGACTCTTTTTCTCCTTTACTCAGCCACCTCTCTTAATAAATTGGCCATCCCATCGATCCAAGAACAATTGCTACCATTCAAATGGTTCCAACACAAATCATAGGACACGTTTAATAATTCTCCAAAGTTAAAAAAAAAATAAGTGAGAGAAGAGAAGAATGCTAGAATTGAATCACGAGACACAAATAATCCCTAGAGTTTGGTAATTAAGCTGAGATTGCACGAATTGAAAGCTTGAACACAGACAAGATACTAGTTTTGATTGAAAAATAATACTAAAAATATTTATGAAATTGTGCCCAAATTTTGTGTGTTCAAATACACTTTAGCACTTTCTCTCCTTTTCTTTTTAAGTTCATTTATGTTTAATCAATATTTCAAATACTACAAGCAATGATGCTGATATATTAAGGAGACAGTATTCTTATTCACACCGCCATCAGCACTCTACATACACAAAAACACAGACTAGCCAGCCATATTTCCTCGCCAACAGAGCCCAACTCAACACACAAAAAATGGTCATTTTTGCAATTGAAGGGCCTTGTAAGATAAAGCCACGAGTGTCTATAGCTTTGAAGTTGGCAAACCTGCAATTAGAAAGAAAAATTACAAGTCCAATCACTGTATTATTAAGAGGGTTTGTTTTCAACAATAAGTGTGCAAAATGTTGTTACCCAGTGCTTTTGCATTAACAATGCTTGGACATGCAGCTGGAGGTCGAGCTTTCTCACTCAGGAATGGTTCCACCTTATTGGCATCAAACCAAACTGGGTACCCTTTAATCTTGCCCTGAACATTTTATAATTTAGGACTATAATCAGTTTTACAAGGCACTCAGAATTTACAGTCATCATAGAAATAAGTCCCTGATTGTTTTGACATTGAAAAATCAATTTTTACAATGTTAAACAAAAAAGTACACACTTTTCAATATGAATATTAGGCTGAGATTAACATAAATACACATATTTCAATCACATTTAACAATTCAAAATTAGTATAAAGATGGAGAGATATATACCAGCACGTTTAGAGCTGCTAGTGTTGCCATTCCCTCACGGGTCCACTGCAAGTAAGTTTATACATTAAATCAAAAAATTGAAAGTGAGTCAACCATAAGACTTTAATTAATACTGAAAATTTCTTAGTATAATGTAAAATTACCTTGGAAGCAGATGCAATGTGAGGTACCACAATGGCATTCTTCAACTCTGCAAGCCCGGGCTTCATGTTGGGCTCGTCCTAACAAAAAAAATCATGTAGCAACTTAAAAGGTGGTTTTGTAATAACAAATTCAATTATTCAAGGACAAAAAGAAGGTTCAGTTACCTCAAACACATCAAGGGCTACTCGGAACATTGGGTTCTGTTTCAAATGCTCCACAAGTGCAGCTTCATCAATAACAGGCCCTCTACTGCAGTTTACAAGAATTGCTTCCTGTAATAGAGACATCAGCATTAACACAGAAATTTCACCACTTGATTCCGTAAATAATTTAGAGCAAAACCTTGTTCCTTAAACTCTTACCTTCTTCATCTTGGCGAGTCTTTCCTTGTTCACTAGGTGATAAGTTGTTTTATCCAAGACAGGATGAAGACTAATCTACAAAAGCACCACCCATGATAATAAACCATAATATTTGGAATAACTAATGTAGTATGCTGTCATATGTGGTACATTAATTTTCCACAATCAAATTCTTACTATATCTGCCTCCTGGAGGACCTCATCCATGGTTGATGCCCTTTTCCAAGTCACTGGTGTTTCACCATTTGCTTTCAAGAATGCAGCATAAGCTGCAATAGGACAAAAAAGAACCTTTAGTTAGTTCACAATAATTTGGTATATAAAATAAGACTTGGTAGGAACATGCCTGTGACAAACTTTTCTAGTCTTGTGGCCTGGTAGAGATCATAGTAAATTAGGTTCATCTTGAACCCTTCAACCTGATATAGTAGAAAAGAATTCTTTGGTCATTATCAAGAGAAAAAAAAATTATACATTATTGAGCATCAAAGTCAAATTGAAATCTTTAACATCAGCAAACTAAATAATGCATTTTCTTGCAAGGGAAGCGCAGTACCCTTGCCAACTTTGAACGTGATGATCATGTGAATAATCAAGTATCATCAATTATCACCAGCTTAATACAATACAGCAAAAGTGCTAATTCAAAAATTTAAATGAAATAAAAGTCAGGTAAAGAAACCCAAACGAGAGCAGTGAGAAACCAGACTATTTTTATGGGTGACAGATTTAGCACACACCAAATTCAACTCAATCAAGTGAACCTTATATGTATTGGAAAATTACCATCATTCTTGCATAAGCCGATCCAATACGACCAGCTCCAATTACACCAACAGTCTGTCCTTTGAGCAAGTTTCCAACAAATCTGCCACGGAAACAGAACAAAAGCAGTAATTCCAGCCTTCAAAAGGTTATGTTGCTTACAAATCAAAAAAGAAAAACTACCATATCATGACATTACTCTTAACATAAAGAAAGAAACAATAAAGGAATATTCAGTAGTTTTCATACAGATGAGGTAGCCATCCATCATATAACCCTGCCCTCATGAACTCATCTGCCTCAACTATCCTTCTAGCAGCTGCCAAAGACAGTGAAGCTGCTAGCTCTGCAGTTGTCTCTGTGAGCACTCCCTACCAAAGAAAGAATGAAACTAATGTAAGAACAAATATTTCCTCCTCAAGACTACCACTTTTTCTCACAGAACATACACAACATAACCAAACTCACTTCAACATCACACATAAAAGCATTTAACAGCAATCATTGTTGTATCATATATATTTCCAACTATACACTCTATAAAACACACACATGAGAAATGGGAAAAGAGAGAACTTACAGGAGTATTTCCAACAGCAACACCATACTTATTTGCAGCATCAACATTCACATTATTATAACCAACCGCCATGTTACTGAATGCCTTGCCTCCCGCTCTGCTCAAGGCAGAGAACAACTCATCTCCCCAGTCTTCAGTCAGCTGTAATAGCAACTCCATCACATACCCATAAAGCCCAAAAGCAAGAAAAATCCAAACCAAAACCAAAATTATAATTTTTTTTATAAAAATTGTTGACTTTGATCACCATCTTGTAACTACTCTTATCATTACCTGTCCTATAACTCCATCGCACTTATCACAAATCAAAGCAATGATGTCTTCAACTGAAAGTATAGTTTTCTTCTCGGTACATATCTGAGTAGCACAAAAGACCCAAATAAGAAATTCAATTTCTCTTCCTTTACTAAAAAAACAAACGTTTAGAAGCTGTCTCAAAAAAAAAATAAAAAATTGTAGCATCGTATAAAAGGAAACAAAGAAGGTTGATTACTTCAAGGCGACAATCATTTTGAATGAGAAGATTGATCCAACGAGTTCCGGGCATTGGTTTTGTGCTAACAACTCTGTATTTCCCATTTGGGTTCCATACCTCGATGGACACTGGCTTGGCCATGAAGGCAAAAAGAGTGTGTTAAGTGTAACTAGCTGTCTATAGTTTAAGTTGAAGCATAAATTCACTTGGTCTTTGCTTATAATATTAAAGATTGATGATCTAGTGTGACATGCTAGACCATACTTATTTGTTGCTGACCAATGAAATTGGAGCATGGATAAGACTTTGACTTGTGATTCTTTGACCTTATAATATTGATGACTGGTTAGTGGTGTAATAGTTGGAGTTGGCTACAGGATTTGGCCCCTTTCAGATAACGTGAGATCATGAAGGGAAGAGAAAAATTGAAGCAATGCAAGTGCTTTGAGCCTCTCGTTACAGGGAATGGATAACACTTCATCCTATTTCCTCAAAGACAGAAATAGCCCTCGAGTTTGTGGCTGACAGTGAAATCATGAATTCCCACCACTGGGTCAGGAAAAACAGTTATAATTTGTATAACTGTCGTTCAATTATCGTTAAAATTAAAATAAAATTAAATATGATAACAAATTTAATTAACCTTCTATGAAGTTATGTAATGCTTATGGAGAAAAATAATAAATGTGTAAATATCAAAGTAAAAGCAGAAGTTAGTCTTTATTAACACTCATACGTTACGCAGAATAATTTCTTAAAATTAAATGATAAATGATAAGTGGATATCATCCACACGTAAACATGATCATATATTGGCAGATGAAAAACCATAGGGCTTTTAAAATCAACCAACATAATAATAATTATTGTTCATCATTTGTTCTATATACGGTTTTCAATAAATTTGTCACCCATGAATTCATACAATTTCGTTTCTTATGAACTTTCCCTTGATAAACATTTGAAAATAGATGGGAAGGAGAAGTCACTAAAACTTTAATTGAATATTGAAAAGCAATGACAACAACTCAGTCAATGCATCCCGAAATTTTAACTTTAAGCACATTTTTTCTCTTATCAATCAGCTCAAAGAAACAAACATCTCCGGCCTTCAAATGACATTCCCTAACAAATGATGACCAACCCAAAGAGAATCTTCCGTAGTTATGCATTGGATAATACTTCAGCTTAACGAGCCATGATCTCTTCCCAACTTGCAGAGTCACCTCATTTACATTATCAATGGCAAGCTTTCTTATGAAATTGACTGGTATGTACTGCAAAAATATAAGTTAATTTAATTGGTCAAGGGAAGAATATTTTGCATGTGTAAAACATGACTCTAATTTACACCTACCATATACTTCATTTGAGTAGACTTTATGGTGAGGGCTAATTGATTCTCCCACATTTTGTTGTTACATGTTGGAAATTCAGAATCTAAGGGAATAAAAAGAGGAAAAAGTAAAAAAAAATGGAGAAAATTATCATAGAATTTCCATAATGAATCAAAAAAGAATGTGTTGATAATAAGCATACCATCAATGACATTAGCCCTTGAGTCCTCTCTTGGAATTCCTTCACAGCCCCTTTTAGTGAAACTATTTTGAAACCTTGTTCGTTTTCTTTGCTTTGCACCATCCCCATGAGCTTGTCAAGAAAAATAATAATAAGAAAATGAAATTTGCAAATTAAAATGGCAAAGTAAAATATCATTTTTAAATTACCTTGAAGTAGGGGAGGGCTTGATTCTTCTCTATCCCGAAAAATAACAACTCTAAATGAAATTCCTACTGACATAGTCTCCTCAAAAACACATACATCACCAATTTTTAAGTTATTGTCCTTCACAAAATTCATCCAACCTGTAGTAAACATCACTTGTTCATTGTTACGATTTGTCTTAAACTTGACCCCCCAAGATCTTTCCTCAGATACACACAGAGTAACACTGTCATCCCCTTCTGGTTGAGATGATTTTATAAAGTGGCCTGGTATGACCTGTTTTAACAGTTATTTTTCCACAAAAATTTACAAATTAAACAAAGTTCAGTAGTAACCTTTTGTTAACTAATATTACATTGACAAAATGTACAGGTCCTAATAATCAATAATATAGGTCAGAATTATAGCAAAACTTGAACAAAATCTATATGCCAAGGTATTTTTTGTATTGTTATCCAATCAAGATTAGAGAACAACGTTCAAAATACTTGGGATAGGATAATGCACCTAAGTTTTGTACAACTTGTTATCATTTCAAATATCACTTTTTTTTTTGGGTGGTTTACCAAGAAATATTTTTGAACGTATGATGGGTGCATTTCACGAATGAAAAAAGGATTCTCAGAGTGGAAAGCATTGGCTCTCTCCCAAGCACTACTACCATCAGTATCTTCCAATGACTCCTCACGTTGAGGAGCCTTAAATTTTGAGCTACTTCTATTGGCATAGATATATCTTCTTCCACCTGTTAACGAATCAATGTAATTCAAAAAACAGAAAGGTTGCAATACCTTAAACTTTGGAACTAAAGAAAAAAAAGGAAAGAAACCCACATCCCCACCTTTATTTTTGGGCCTTGAATTCATTCTAGATTGAGCATGTTTAGTTTCAACATCTTGACTGTGATAACATTGAGGCTCCTTTGTTGGGTTAGTTTTGATCTTCTTAGTAAAACTAGAAAAGGCTAAGGGAGATTTCTGTCTTTTATTATGGCGTGAAGAGTTATCACCCTTTTCATCATCAAAAGTTGCTTCTTCCAACAAAGGGTACTTTATTTCCAATGCACTCTGATCAAGTATTACAACATGAAACCTTGACTTCCCCACATATCTGAAGACCAAAAGATGGTTCTCATCCAAAGCATAGAATTCGGAAAATTTCTTCCAATCATTGCTTAACCAAACGTCAACATCAGGCCTTTTCCATTTCACTTCCCATTTAGCACCGTTAGGTAGCAAAAGGACTATTGGGTTTGATATTTCTTCCCAACATTTGTTAACAAAACTTCGAGGAATCCTCTGACACAATATTATTGTCAATGGAGTATATATGGCAGTAATAATGTTTAAATATAAATAATAATATAATAAGTAAAAAAATGAAAGTATTAAAAAGGAAAGATTTTGAAATAGTTGGAAAACAAACTTAAACTTAATATGAATATGAGAAATGGTAAAGAATGCTAACCATGTGCCCATTTCGCAGGTTGTCTTCCTCAATTTTCTTGTAAAAATGAATGTCATTGCCATGAGAAGACATTGTTGTACCATGAATCACACTTTGGAGGCTCAAATTTATAGAAATGGACGTGTCGTTTCAGTTCAAAGCATGTTTAAGTGTAGAATAAAGCGTACTTATTTTAATTCTTTAAGTGCTTCATTGTGCCAACCACCTAAATTCCTTGTTGCTAGTAACCCAAACGACGGTGACGAGTGAAAAATCAATTTAAATGATAATTATGAATCTATTTATAATAATAATTTAAATATTTTGCTAACATATATTTATTGGCCAAACAAGTATTTTAGTAACCATTTTTTATATAAGGTGTATGTAAAAAGTATATAATTAAAATTTTATTACAATTAATATTTTTAATATACTCAATCTTGCAATATTTTATAATGTTTAATAAAAATTTACTTTATATAAATTTTTACTGTATATCCTTAGGTATACATTAAATATAAACATTTTGCTAACTAGTATTTTAATTAAAAATTAATAAACAAAAATATTGTATTAAGAGTGTATTAAAATAATAATATATTGATTGATAATATTTTTTAAAAAATTTAAGTAATATTTTGATTCTTAAAAATTTTATAACTTTTTTATTTAATTTATTATTTTTAAATGTATCAAGAGAATCTTTCATGATATATGTAACACTCCGAATTTTTATAATATTGATTATTATATATATATATATATATATATATATATATATGTGTGTGTGTGGATGCTGGAATGTGCACTCGAATACATGATGAGTTTGATATGATAATGATGAATATTGAATGGTGATGAGAATATATGTGTATGTTTGTAAAAGTAATGTGGATGTTGATTGTGCATTAAGATTAATTTTTTGGACTATTTGAAATAGGCTAAGTGTGGGTGCACTTGATTCTACAGAGTGTTCTCGCTGAAGCGAGATGATTCTCGCTGTAGTGAGAAGGCAATGGAGAGAGGAGTGAAGTTATTGCGTTCTCGCTGTAGCAAGAATTCCCTTGCTGTAGCAAGAATTCCCTTACTGTAGCAAGAAAGCAACGATGGAGGGTGCATTTATGACTGTAGTATCGCTGTAGCGAGAGAGTTTCGTTGTAACAAGATTCTATAGAAACCAAAATGCAGTTTCTTCTGAGATTTTCGCTGCAATAAAAGAGGGTGTCGCTGCAGCAAGAATGTCGAGACTAGAAAGGTATTTGAAGAGTTAGGGTTCGAGTGGATGGGTTATTTTACATTTCACTTCCCTTCTTTCGCAATTCTTTCAATTCCAAACCTTATTTTATCGATTAAATTGTCTCCAAAGCCATTTAGGAGTAAGATTAAGGGTAGAATTTACGTTTGAGGCGTTTGGAGGTAAGTTTAATGGTTAGGGTTTCAGTTTCTCATCTCTATTCTCTGCTTTCTCAGTTTTCCTTAGTTCTCATTCTATGTATTTATGACGAAACTCGTGTGAGGAGCACTTCCTTGGTTGATTTCGTGTGTGAGTCTTTAATCTGAGATAAGAGGGAGACTCTACTCTATCTCATTATGTTTGAATGCCATGTAATTTACTATGCATTGTCATGTGGATGGTTTGAAATGTGTGTGATTAGTAGAATTGATTAATTGTAGTAAAATTATGGTGAAAAGATCGTGTGAAACTTAGTATTATCAATATTGAGAAATACTGGATATGATGAAATGAATGGTTATAGGGATATTATGGTAAAAAAAAACTGTATGATTGAGCCTTGTGTGGTGGAATATGGGCATATGTATCGTGTGCTGTGAATGAATGTAGGTCTGCGTGCATGTGTTGTGATATAATGTGGGTCTGTGTGCCGTTTGCGAATATGAATATTGTATGTGACTAAAATGTGTGTGAAAGGGCATGTTAAATGCGGTTGTGAATATGTTATGAATGATTTAGCAATACACTAGAAGTGTAGAAGATGAGGACGGTAGAAATATCTTAGAAAAAAGAAGGTAATGGTGACACCAACAGTGAGCATGGGTGCACTACAGGCCGCACACTCTTCTCCTGACTAGACCTCTGATCAACACCTTTGTCAAGCAGCTCGTAATCGCACACGTTGTATCCGTGAGGTGGGGATAACCGACGACCATTCATGGTGTGAAACTGTGATCATAGTGCCACAATGAGCGAGGCTACGTGTAGTGAGTACACGTATGTGTAAAATGTTGTTAGTGCAGGGAGTGCATCGGTTGTGAACTGAAATGGAATGCGTGAAAAGTGTTGTTTGTAATTCATTATACTTGTGTAGAATATGTTAAAAATTATGTGAGGTGTGTGAAGTGAGTCTCTCTGTTTGTGTGTGTTGAATAGTGTAGAGTATTCATCCTTACATTTATTTTTCAGTTGACCAAAACGATTAATATTGGGCTCAATGAAAGAATAAATGATATTGCTATAGGGCTTAAATTTTATTTTGAACATACCATGTATTTGGATTAGTCCTATAACAGTTACTTGATCAAAATTTGTAAACCTTTATTATTTTGAAATACTTTGTCAAAACTATGCTTTGGGAAAGTCTATTTTAAAATAAAATTTTTATTATTTCTATTTTGTAAAATTTATTATTTTGAAATTAAATTTAAGGTGTATAATATATTTTTTGTTAAATATCTTTTTATGAATTGAAAAACCTTTTTATTTAAATAATAATAATATATAAACAAAAAGGAGAAGCACCAGATAAAAACTATCTTTTGGTAGATATTTTAATGTGTAATATTGTCAAAGATAAAAATTTATATATAATATATTTTTATTAAAAATTATAGAATTCAATATTATTTAATTCATTAATAATATTAATAATTTTTTATAAAATTTATACATTTTTTTTTATTTTGTGCAATATTGCACAAGTTAAAAAGAATATTCTTTTATTTTATAAATCTTTTATAGCTAAAAACTATTCTTTTGTGAAATTAATTTGGTAATTATCGGTGTGTGCAACAAACTTCAAAACTTGGTCTAAATTTTTTATACCTTTTATTTTTATAATTTTATTTAAATAAAATTCATGATTTTTTTTTCAAACTTATAATTGCAGTTGTAACAATGGTCTACAGGGAAAATGTTTTGGAGACAACAGAATGTTGTCACTTTTGATTTTAATATATATATATATATTATGCAATGTTATATACTCTTGTATTTGAAAAATATTCTCCAACATATTCTTAATTATCAATAAAACTAATTAAAAGATATAGAAGTATGAATAAAAACTACTAAATTAAGAATATTTTTTTATAATTTTAATTAATAATAAAAAATATATTTAAACAATTTTATCAAAAATATTATAAGATATATTTTCCCTCTGACCTCATTTTTTATTTATTTATTCAATTCTTTGATTTTATAAAGATTAGGTTCATGATTGCTAATCAACCATGAGTTCCAACAGCATATTTATTATTTTACGCTTAGACAAATCAATATTTTACAATTTTAATTTTAGTATATTTTTATGTATTACTCTCTTTGGTACTTAAATAAAAGATTAAATTATCAGGAACAAAAAAAATAATTAAGTATATTATGTTTTTTATAAATATAAATTTTATTCTAAAAATACTCATAATATTAAATGATATAGTTAATAATTTATATATTTAATGATATTAATAAAAGAATAATATAAAAGAAATATAACAATTAATGCATCTTGAATCTATCATTTATTTCTTATAATAAAGATAAAAAAATATTTTATTTTTTATAAAAAAAATTATTTTTTTATTTATTTTCATCTTTATTAACTTTATTTTATGACCGTCAAAGAACTATAAAAATTGATAAGAATCGTATTGGGATAATTGGTTTTATCTACATATTATACCTTCAAGAATAATATTAATAAGTAAAAGAAGTGAATTTAGCAAATATATTCATGGACCATAAATTTTTCTTTCAAATTCCTCATAATCAAATATAACCAAAATAAAGATCATATTCTTAAAAACTTAACAAAAAGTAGTTATACTCAGAGCATAGACTTAAAAAACATGAACTTTCAAGGAGGGAAGTTCTCTGTCAATGAGCTCAAAAATACAAATGTTTCCAGTTTTCAATTTACTTTCCTTTACAAACACAGACCAACCAGAAGAGAAGCGATCATAGGAACTTTTGGGAGCACGAACTAACTTCACACACCAGGATCTTTCACCTAACTGCATCATCACACTTCGCTCATTCTCCCCAATATCCATGAACTTTGGTACATGCTTCTGCAAAATTAATTTAACATTACCTCAAAAATAAGAAAGAAATTAAAAACACAACTTGAAAGTGTATTGAAACACCTGCAAGAGCATATAACTAAATCGTTTCACCAAAAATTATATTTAAACCCCACCGTAGCATTTTTTTCCAAATGGACCTTCTTTATGAGCAATGTGAAAAAAACATTGTTAGAGATAAAATTATTGGCTACTTCCTGTGCTCTAACACTCCTGGGCATATTCAAAGATGTAGTTCTTTGAGTACCCTTCACACCTGTGAAATACAAATAAAACAAGTCGGAACCAATTAAAGATATGCCTATCTATGGAGTAACACTCATGATAATGAAATTAAATTATCAAGGTGCTATGCTATCTTTATTTCATTTCATAGAAAGCTTAACACAATATATCTCAGCATGCCATGCATATTCATTGACAGGAAAAAAGATATCATGAGTAACATCATTCCTTTCAGTTGGTGTTTGGTTATTTTCTTACACTTTGTCCCTGGTTCAGAATGATCACCTGTATCTGCTTGCAACTTCTGTGAATTGGAGTTTGCTTCAACATTCTCGTGTGTATTATTTCGCATTTTCTTGTGGAGTGGAGGGGAAAACAATGGTGTGTTTGATCTAGTCTTTTGGTGTGGAGGGAATTCCTCCAAGATCATAACAGATGCATCATTACACTCATCATGGTTGTCCATTTCATCATCATCATTTTCAGAAGGAGGATGATCTATTTCTAAGGCACTCTTATCAAATATAAGTACATCAACATGAGGGGATCCTTCATATTTAAACACAACCAAATGCCCATAACCTATGGAATAATTTTCAGCAAATTCTTTCCAACCCTTATCGAACCAAACCTCACCATTCTCTTTTGTCAAACACACTTCCCATTCAGTGCCGTCCGGAGGCTTAATAAGCACTGGATTTGACAAACCATCCCCATATGTCCTTGTAAAGCTATTGGGTATTTTCTGCACAAAAGCTTTAATTTGTTAGTATGCCAAACAAATGTTCATAACTCTACCACATACATAACTCTATTCTAACTTCACTTTTTTCCATAACCAATTCTTTGGGACTGATATCTCTACTTTGTATTTTATTCCAAAGCAAGGCTAAGTGTAGTATTTTGCAACACTTAGAAGGATAAGTAAGAATACTTACAAGCTTTTCAACATTAGATTCAATGATTATCTTGAAGAAATGGATGGGCAGGAATGCATTACGTTGGCCAATTTGAGTAGCCATGAATAGAATATGAAGTTGAGAAGCTGTGTCACTCAACCACTGCCGAGTGATAATTTGTATTCGCATCATTTCATAATCATATAGTATAATTGAATCATTCATATTCACGAGGTTACAATGTACTGCGCTTAATAATGGAATTGCAATGATTATTTGATCGCATGCAATAAAATGTGGCATCAAGGCTTCTTGGTTTCTAGTCCAAAGAAGAGGGATTAATGCTCATGCACCTTGGAATTAATCAGTGACGTCTGGAGTTACTTCTTGAGCCCCGCCATTCCTTTAACATAACCATTCATATTAGTGGCTGCGCTTTGTAAATTGAAAAGATTATTTATTAGCCGCCGTGAATTACTCTCTTCAAAATTACTCTCCTGCTGTATAATTCATCCTTTATATACATCCTAATCCCGATGATTAATATAAAGGGAAGTATTAATTTCATTTTAAAAGAAGGAAGTGCGAGTTATTATCAAACCACTTCAGTTCCATTTCATGAGATCTGAACCTCTTCCTCCCCAAATTTGGTGAAGGCAAAATATCTATGTTTTCACGATTTTTCTTTCTTCTCTTGCAACTTTTTAAATTTAGAAAACACCAATAGTTTGAAGATTCAGGTCTAGGTGCATATATGGGCCCTAAGAAATTTGAGCATTAAAGTAATCATGGACCACAGATTTATTTTTTTATTCAAATCTTTCTAAATTAACTATAACAATAGGTCACTTGGAGCATTACAGCAATCATGGAATGGAAGAGATCATCATAACTTCTTGAAGTTGAACCAAAATCAAATTCAACCGTGCTTTCCGAAAACATGAACTTGAAAAACTAAATCTTGTGCGTTAATGAGTTCAAACACACAAACATCTCCTGGTATCAATTGACTTTCCTTTACAAACAAGGACCAACCAGCAGAGAGCTTGCGAACTGAAGAAGGGTTGTGACGCCGGAGCAACTTTAAATTCCATGACCTGTCCCCACTCTTAAGTATCACATTCTTCTCCTTGTTCTCAATATCAACATTCAAATCTGGTAGAGTCTGCATAACGTAACATTATATATATAATATCAGTACAGTTAAAAGTTAGTTATAACACAACCTACGACTTCAGGATTCAGGAACTTTAATGTTTTTTGTTTAGTCTTACCACCCGACTTGCTCCTAGAAGAGATGGTGTTATGTAAACAGTGAAAAAAGGGTTCTTTGAGATGAATTTTATTGCAACTTCCTTTGCTCTTGTTTGTGTTGGCCAATTTAAAGATGTTCTTTCAATAGCCTTATCACCTGTATAAAATACAAAACAAACGGAAGATGGGGTTTAAATTTAAAAATGTAAAAATGCTGTCCTTCAATATCTCTTGCTATATATAAAAAGATAAAACAAATAGGTCAAAGCTAACCAAGTTTAAGTATATTTGATAAGAAACTAAAAATTATAATTTTTAATAATTTTTTAATTCTTTAAGTATATCTTTGAAATATTCATTAGCAAGAGCTAATATAGCACGATGAAATTAAAAAATATAAATTGTATTCTAAAAATACCCATGATATTAAATAGTGTAGTTATATACTTAATGATACTAATAAAAGAAGGATATAAAACAAATTTAATAATTAATATATCTTAAATCTATTATTTGTTTCTCATTATAAAGATTAAAAAAGTATTCTATTTTGTTTCTTATAAAAAGGAATAGAGAGAGTATTAAAATATTACTGCATGATATACCCAATAAGTTGATCAATTTAACGTTATTAATACATTTGTGTAATATCTTGCAATTTTTAATAAATTTATTATAAGTATATTTTTATTGTATACGTTAAAAAAATCACAGGTCGGGAAAAACTGAAGGGAACTAAAGATTAGTCATTGGTGGCGTCCAAAATAGCCATGGAGGAGAGCATAAACCACCCATAAGTTGAAGATAGCACCGAAAAAAATCGATTGAAGAAGAAACAATGAAGTGGAGGAAAGAATAGTACCTGTTATGTGTGTAGCCTTTTGGTCAGGAAACTCGTCCAAAATTTCAATTGATTTATCATCAGTTTGATTCTGATTAAGGTTGTCATTTTCATCACAATAAGTGTCACAAAAAGGATAGTCTATTTCTAAAGCAGTGTGGTCAAGTATGAGTATATCAATGTGGGAAGTTCCTTCATATTTAAAAACAACCAAATACCCATGATCTAGTGAATAATTTTCAACAATTTCTTTCCAACCCTTTTCCAACCAAACCTCACCATTCTCTTTTGTCCAATACACTTTCCATTCAGTGCCATCTGGAGGCTTTATAAACACTGGATTTGACAAGCCACCTCCATATCTCCTTGTAAACTTGTTGGGTATTTTCTGCAAAGAACATGATGGTTATAACAAGTTCGTAAAAATCGCTCATAATACTTATGTCTATGTGTATAATTTCAATCTAATATCATGCAATAGGAAGTATCTCAAATCCTTATACGATATATATGGCTATATATATGGAGGTAGAAGCCTAAGTGTAAGAATGCATGCTTACAAGCCTTTCAATATTAGCTTTAAGAATAATCTTGAAGAAACAGATTGGCAAGGTAGCATTTTCCCCACTAGGCATGGATGCAGTTTGAAATTGAGATGCTGTTACTCCTTAACCAAGAGAATATAGAAGCATGCATTGCATGTCCCTTGTTTTCCTAAGTAATTTCTGGTCAAAGCAAGTGAAGATTTAATTATGATCTTTGTTAAGCTAGCTGCCTCCTACTCAACTCACATATAATGATAACCCCTCAGAACAAAATTTTTTTAATTCAAATATGTTTTTATTTCTGAGTGTATTAATTTTAATAGTGCGTGAAAACTCAAAATTGCAGTAATCTTAGATTTTAATTTACTTAAAAATTATGTATTTAAATTCATTTGATATTTTAAATTTTAAAAGTAATTAGATTTAAATAACATAACCAGGGAAGACTAAAAAACATAAATAAAATGTTAATTACAAAAAAAGATATGTGACTTGATGAGAAAGAGAAAAACTTAAAAACATTTTTTTGTTAAAAAACGAAGATTCAGTATATAATATTGTGTTATTTCCTATTATGAGTAAATAAATAGAGTGATTCATTTATGGTGACACAGGTTTTGTTTGAAGTGCTGTCTCGAGTCTTGCCACACAATTAAAGTCTTGAAACTGTAAATTGAGATTATCATTTGACCACACAAAAATTTGGTTTAACAGTATTTTTTTTCTTTTTTTTATAAAAAATAAAAAGACTAAATTATTTATTTTTTTATAAAAAATAAAAGACTAAATCACTAAGAACGAAAAAAGTAATTAAGTCTTATATATTTTTTATAAATATAAATTTTATTCTAAAAATATTTATAATATTAAATAATATAATTAATAATTTATATATTTAATAATACTAATAAAAGAATAATATAAAAAAAATTAATAATTAATGTATCTTGAATCTCATTTATTTCTTATAATAAGAATTAAGAAAATATTTTATTTTATTTCTTATAAAAAAAAATCAGATAGAGTAATTTTTTAAAGTAAAAATATGTAGAACAGTATATTTTTTGAACATGAGCACAATAACCAAAAAATAATAATAATTAAAAATTTAACTAGTATTTTAAAAAAAATAAACATATAATAAGATATTTATTTTTATAATTTTTTATGCATTTTAACATATTTTTAATAAACTTTTGTTATTTATTAAAAATTGTAACATATTATTAATGCATTTAATTATATAATATCTTGTGATTTTAATAAAGTATCTTGCTAACCAGATGTTAAAGAATTGAAAGTAAATTTTTTGAAAAAAAAATACGGTAAATTACATTAAAAATTACAAAAAAAAATATTATTAATAATTTTTTAACAAAAATTATCATTTTAATTTAATTTTTATTTATTATATTTTTTGTTTTTATGTTTAAGATTTTGCACAATTTTTAAGAAAATATTGATATTTTAAGTGTTATACAAAAATACTTAACTTTCAATCATACCAATCATTTATTATATCAATTAATTTTTTTTATTATCTTCTATCCCATAAACATTAATTATTAATAGTAAATTTGTAATAAAATTTAATTATTCATTAATTTTATAAAATAACAATAAAAAATAATGTTACTAAAATGCAAAAGAAAAAAAAACAAAATATGGTATTTAATTTTTTATATAAATAAAAGGATAATAATAATAATAATAAAAATGTAACAATTTATATATTTTAAAAAAAAATTTACATGAATATAAATACGTGAGAACATATTTTTTCTTTTTTCTTTTTAAAAAGAAAAACAAAAATAATATTAACAATTTTTTCTTTTTCTTCATTGGTTTGGGTGAGCTAGTAAATTTAATTTTAATGTTAGGTAATCAAGTTTAATTAATTGAGTATTATACGTTTTGGTGTATAATAAATTTAGAGATTAACGAATGGATTATCACTAAAACAAAAGATTGGGCCATTAAACACAACACAGCCCTGGCCTGGAAGCTGCGACGTAGATTAGAGAGATAGACAGCACAGCCAGAGAAGCAGGGTGAAGTGGAATTCGGAGAAAGAGAGAATCGTTTTGCGATCAAATTGAGAAAAGAAAATGGAAGTTGAAGGATCATCGAAGAAGATGATAGCGACACAAGAGGAAATGGTGGAGGCTAGGGTTCCATTAGCGTACAGAGACCAGTGCGCACACTTGCTGATCCCTCTCAACAAGTGCAGACAAGCCGAATTCTATCTCCCATGGAAGTGCGAGAACGAACGTCACACCTACGAGAAGTGCGAATACGAACTCGTCATGGAGAGAATGCTTCAGATGCAGAAGATCCGTCAGCAAAACGCCGACTCCAAACACCCTCTCCCCGCCGTTTCCCTCATTCCCAAACCGGCCAATGCCTGACCCCCTCTCTGTAAGTCCCTCTCTTTTCTTCCATTTTTTGTCGTTTGGGGTTTTATGAGTAATTTGGCGATTTATGTCTTCGTACCAAGTTAGATTTGGGGATAAAATTATGTTTTAGGTTTAGATGACTTGAAGAATGTGGGAGCCCTTTTTAATGCTACTGCACTTTGAAATTGGTTGTTGCGAACTATTCTGTGTAGAAATAAGTATTGGAGTTTGTAGTCTATTATTAAACTTAATTCTGGTTACAGGGGAGTGGGAGTGTCGCTTTCAGATTGTGCATTGGACCGTAGGAGAATGTTCACATCAAGTGTTTGCACAATACATAAAGAGTTGCTTGTTGAATCAAATGTAAATGAATGCGTAACTTATATACACTCTAAATGATTAACTATTAATTGTAATGGAAACCTCTTACAATATAATTCAGCTGTTTTTAGTTGCATAGAGCCTGATTGGTTTTCTGTCTAAAGATGGCAAGAGAATCAATTTTTCAACCATTGAAAAATTGTTAAGGCTGTGTAAATCGATTTGCAAATTATGCTCACTGTAGGTTTGAATTTTTGAAACTCTGTTTCACTTCGTTAACGGAGAAACAAACAGACTGATAGTAGATCTTGAACTCAGTTTGCTTTTCTCTTTTCTCTCTCCTTTGTGATTCTTTGGTTGCTTTCCTATATGGAAACCTCTCACAATATGACTCAGGCTGTATTATCTTGGGCTTGTGAGGCCTAAATTAACTTGTAAGATTTATAAAGGCTGGGAATGGTAGCAGCAGGCAATTAAACAAACTATCTTTCCTCGTTTTTTCAATTAAATAACTTCTACAAGATAGTGTTTGGAATAGGTCAGTGAATTTAACATACTGCAGAATCTGTAATTCTGTGGTCGCTTGTTTTTCTCCTAGCTGGAGGTGATATTATATATAATGTGCTTTCATTGGACTTTGGTTTGTCAAATGTAAATCACCAATGATATATCCTTATTCCGCATTATAAGTGATAAGAAAGGAGTCTTGGGAAAAAATATACAATTGCAACAGTTGTTATAAGCTTCCTGGCCTCTCCCTGTAGGTTTCATTTGCCCCTTGATTTCTTTCGCAAGATCTTGTTGATCCTCCCCTCCCCCCGGTTTTCTCTTGCACTTCCTATTTGACTTTTGATTTATGTTCAACTTTTGACAGGAACCTTTGCTTGGGTCAGATGTTCTTTCATGTTTTTCTGTTGTAAGGATCAAAGTTACTTTGGAATGTTTGCCAGAGACCCCTACAGACTGTTTATATTTTATTTTCTGCTGTCATTGAGTCATGTTTCTACTTTCTACTTGGAAGAAATAAAATTTCTTGTTAACATTTCATAAAGGGAAATACTAACTGATTGGTTTTGCATGCATCTTGGTCATGCCCCTAATCACTTAGCTGACAATTTTGAAATCCTTGGCTATGATCCAAGATCCGATTCTAGCACACTTAGCTAGTGATCAAACCTGGCACTTCGACGAGGTTTAAACTAATATAGAGGCTGGAACAAAAAATTTCCAAAGGTGTCAGAGCGAAGGATTTAACAGAATTTTTTGAAACAAAAATCTAACTATAGATATAGATAGATTATATCTTCAGGAACGAGTAAAAGGATTTGAAGTGGCAAGTTCTCGAATCCTGTCATGAAATCAATTTCAATGATAATGCTTAGGGGAAAAAAAATGAATGCTTCTTAATTGCAGTTTATCTCAGCGTTTATATCAACAATTTGTACTTTGAATTGAGTTTCCTGGTGAGCACGGGGAAAAAAGAACCTTTTGTAGAAAATCAAAATGTTCTTTGGTCGCCCAAAATGTGCTTATTTCCCCTTTTGTAATCATAACTTAGCTTAAATATTCTGTTTTAGAGTATCAATAGGTTTGCAACTAATAAGGTTAAACTCTATTTTAAATTTAAACATGAGATTATATTAGCAAAAAGTTGGAGAGGAGAGGGGTGCAGATTTAAGCTTTTTCTTCTATCGCAGGATTCATTTCCTTTTTATACGCATAGAAGTTGGCAAATAGAATGTTATGGAATTCCAAATTGGATTGATGAAACCACGATTCCCGAGATTAGATTTAGTTATAACATTCAAGCTCGGCCTGGCACAAGGGACAGTAACAGGGACGAAGGGGATAAATTGATAATCCAGAAGTTTTTTGGTATGTAAGGAGACAAGAACAGGGTTCCTCACGTAAAAAGGGGTTTCAACTGTGCACAACTGTTAAGCCTGATCGGCGATTGCAAGGAATGACTGTGAATTGGGATGTCTCAAGATAATGGAAGTAAATAAACTAAACACGTTTTCAATATTTTCATTTCTCGGAAGCAAGAAACAAGATATTAAATCAAACATATTTTCTGTATCTTGAAAATTTGAAAATGAAAACAAGAAATAAAAAAATTAAAACTAAACAACGGCTAAATTTCAACAAGAATCGAACCCAGTCCCACAACTCAAGCAAAGACAGATTTCAAAAAGAAAATGGAAAAAGAAACTATGAACTTCCTGAGAAAGCACGAGTTTGTGCAGCTTGAAATGATATATTGCAAACGGCTTCTGCTAGCCTATGCGTGACTGGGCTAAACTGTGTTCCTTCGTACGTAGTAAAAGCATTTTATAATGTGGTATTACTAACTGACCAACATGCACATGCCAATGTAGATGTGTTGGTTTGTTCCATTCCTTTCTCTCGTAATCCCAGTCACAAAACACCAAAGGGTAGCTGGCCAAAAATGATTTTATTTTCGGACAATATGTTCTCTTAAAGAATTAAAATGTAATGTAAAGATCCGAAAAATTGCACTAAAACTCGGAAGATGGAAAAACACTACATCAAAGATACCCCATAAACGTCATAATAACATTAAACAATAAGGTAAATTTCCATGCCCACTATCAATTTCCAATCAATTGTTGAATGTCAATAAACTGAGCAAAGTGATAATTTTGTAAATAATTTGGATGTTTGCTTTATCACAATGGGTGCAGCACTCGCAATCTCTAGTTGATGTTATTATTTTCAGGATGAATCATTCTTTAACCTCTTGTAGTTTCATATTCTTTTATGCACTTTTATATCATTTGATTATTTATATCTTTTTATCATTAAATCCTTTTACTTTTATTTTATTTAGCTATAATTTTAGGCTTTAAGCATGGTTTTAACTCTAGTTATAAAATTTTTCATTTTAAATTAAATTTTAATGGGTTTACTGATATCCAAGAGGAAAAATATAAGGTTATAAATTGAAAAAATAAATAAATATATATATATAGGAGAATGATATTCTTATACTAATATAATTTTAAAAATTCTTACACTCAATATAAGTTTTTTATTTAATTTATACTTAATAATTAATAAAATAATAAATTATAATTGTTAGATATAAGTTAAATAAAATGTTTAAATTTAAATATAAAATTTTTTAATTTTATACTAGTGTGAGAACTGTTTTTTATATATATCCTTAGATATGCTTATGATTTGACGAATTAAAATAAAGTAACCCTATTAATATATCTGTTTGCCAATCTCTTTTTAGCTGCTAGCCTGAATAAGAGGAGAATATATGGAACGTAAAACATAAACAAAGTGAATAGAATATTATGACTTTCTATACGTTTCTTCTTGTGTCAAGGGAATGAATAATGATTGAGAAGGGGGTACCTACCACCTTGACTTTACATTCTCAAGGCATTGAATTTGGATTAGATTAAACGCAAAAGTTTGAATTTATTGTATTATGTCTTTGTTCTTTCGATTTAAGCAGCACTTTCCAGTGTGCCTTTTAAGCAAGAACAGCTGCTGTGATCGAGACTTTTATCAAATATCAACTTTGACATAGTGTGTGGTGGGGTTCAAAACAAACTTTACATACCAGGTTGCAAGAAAACTAACCAATAGGGTATCAATAAAACTTAAGTAATCAGAGTGTCATGCTTTATTCAAATATATTTTATTTTATATTTTTTTTCTAAGAAACCTGTTTAATATTTTTAATGATCATTTGTTACATATATAAGATGAAATTATTTCATTATAAATTACATTGATATTTATAATAAATATCATGATTAAGTTACTCTTATCTTATATATTTTAAAAATATATATTACGTTAATTTTAACAAACACGAATAAAGTATTAAATAATTTTAGATTAATTTCAAATGTTATAAACATGATGCATACGATAGAAGTTTTTAATTTAATTGTTAGTTTGTATTTTCTAAAAAAATCAAATGATATTTGTTGGTTTAAATTATATAAATTATCAAGATCCAAAGTTAATAGTAGCATTATCATTTAAAAAAGGTTAAGTGTATTTTTATTTTATCTTAATTGTTCAAATAAAATTTAATAGTCTATTTTTATTATTCTCATTTGCGCAATAATTGAGTATTTTTGTTTGAGTCATTCCTTACATATAAAAAAGGAAATATTGTTTTATTTATAAAGTAATTATTATTATAATTATCCTTCTTAATTATTATTTATAAATATTAAATTTTATCAATAATTGAATAAAATTATAGATTTATATTGATCGTATATATTATATTTTAGATAATTTAGGTATTCATATAAATTTAATTTTATAATCAAAATTATTTATGATTAAAAATTATTTAGATGTTAAAATTAAATTGTTTGATAAATTGTTATTTGTTTATTTAATTATTTTAAAAAATTTTGATTTATATTAAAATAATTAATTTAATAATTAAATTGATAGTTTAATATTTAAAAAGAATTGTTAAAAACAATAACTCTTGCTATTGTAAAAATTATTTTTGAAATAATTTAATCGTTGATATATATGTAACGAGGGAAATACTGCTATATTCTTTTACAATTTTTTCTAACAATTCTAGCTCACACTATTTTTAAGTAAGAATTAAGTTAAAAAAGTATATATATTTATTATATTAAAAATATATAAAATATTAATAACTTCTCCATTTAGTAATTAGGAGGATTTATTGATATAAGAGATTGAAGGGCTTATAATTATTCATGTACACATACACACGTTTTTTTAATTAATGATAAATAGATGGTCTTAAAAAATATAGTATTTAATATTTTTTATTCATCAAATCACATAAATCTCAATAATAACAAAAAACTTAATATGTGTGTGTAATTAGTTAACCTGAGTTTGGTGAGGGGCTGATATGATTTTTAATTATGATGATCATGCCAATGAACAAATTAGCTATAGCCCATGTGTGGAAAACAATGGATTCATACAGCAAGTGCACATGTGATCGTGATGTGGAGTTAATTAGCGTACATCATTTATAATCTCCACCCTTTTTTTAACTCTAAAAATCATTATCAAATATTGATATTTTACTTTTAAAAATGAAAGGGAATTTGAGTAATTGGATAATACTAAAAATTGAATTTCATTTTTCGAAACAGCAAGCCACCTTATATCATGATTCTTTTTCCCTCACGAGATAACCAAGTAAAAAATGATATATCAATTGAAAATTATTTGTGTACATTAAGGAAAAGTCAAACCCTGTGCGTAGACATAGATGTGAAGGAAAACTCAAACTACATAAAAGAGCTTTTATCTATTGAATAGAAACATAAATATAAAAGTTGTTATTGGAATAACTACATGTTTGGATCCAGATTTTTTCTAATATAAATATAGACACAGATACCAGTGTAATATCATATTGAGATTCTATTTAATGTCATCTCAACCTCAAACTATTTTTTTTTACTTAATTTATCATTTTTCTGAAGATTACAGACGATTTCGATTCTGTGAGCATATGCATGCATGCATATGTAACGCCATTCCTTCACTAATATATATTTACCTTTGCTCCAATACGTAATAATATTATTATTATTATAATGAAAGAACACTAAAAGTATTTTATTTTAATAGTTTAAGAAATATTTTTCTTTTAAAAAACGATGATGGATGTCTAGCAGTGTGAATGCACACATACGATAGACATGACTTTGCATGCAATAATTAGAATTGATGGGTCAAAAATAGCATGTTGTTTGTGCCCATTATCTATAATCCACTTTGTTAATTAATATATAATGAGAGAATGACACACGTATAGTGTATGTATGAACTAATGCATGGACAAGGAAGTCAACCAAAACCTCTGTGGGGTAAAGTAAACAATTGGGCAATACATTCTTCTCCTTTTTTTAGCTAACAAGTCCAATTTTATTCTAGGGAATATGTGATGACTAATGGAGATAGGTCCCATTTTTATTGTCTTCATCTTTGTGTTTG